GCCGAGTCGTTTTTTTCTCGTGGTCTAGGCTCCCACGTGTCATGAGTGGCTACATCTCGAGCACATTGACACCTCCTAATGGCATTTTGAGCAAACGGTTAAAGATTGTTGGACCAACCGCTTCGGAAAGAACATACAAAATCGCAAAGCTTGCACATCTGGCCATGCTCATTTCGTGGTCCATATGAAACCAAAGAAATACACGGGTCTTTCCTAACCAATCCTCGTGCGAACAATTTTACTCGGCAACATCAAACTTGAAGCTTCTCTTTGCATGGCCAGAAGAGCCAAAAAATTTAGGAACCATCATTCTGGTTGAGTAGCAACTTTTGTAGTTCAGGGCTTGTAATAAACACTTTATTTTCTTCTTCACGAGTCAAATGTTTTGCCTTCGTTCAAAAAAAAAAGGTGTGACGTTAGGAAGAGGAGAACGAAGGGGGAAGCAGGAAAGAAAGGAAATGGCCATGAATACCGCGGAGAAATTTCCCACCGAAAGCGCGCAGCACACGCAAAGCGAGCAAAAGGCCGAAACCCCCCAACCCAAATCTCCAAACGTTGGCGGTCCGGCGCTCGCTGTCTCCGTCGCCGCCCTTCTCGCCGATCACCCCGCCTCGTCGCGTAGCCGAGCGCAAGGAAACGAAAACCCCCTGACGGCGTCGCCCCAAGCGGCTCGCGGTCGACGAGACCTTTTCCGCTCTCCGCCTACGGCCCTCCCTCGTGGCGGTCGTATCCGCCCCCGAATATGCCTCTCCCTTTTGGCGCCCCACCCCCTTTACTCTCTCCCCACACGCACCCACCTCCGTCTCCACCCTCGTCTCTTCTGCTGCTCCCCCTTCTCCTTCTCCTGTAGCCCCCCTGTTTCCGCTTTCTCTTTCCCCCTTCTCCTCGCCGACCCAACCGAACAAGAAAAAGCAAGCGAGAAGCCGCATCCGCTGCCTCGCTTCCTCCCCCGCCCTTCCCCGCCCGGGATTCATGGAGCTGCTGTTCGAGCTGCTCCTCACGGCGGCGGCCACCCTCCTCGTCGCCTTCCTGCTCGCCAAGCTCCTCTCCGGGAACAATGATCCCCCCCGCCGCGATCGCGCGGCGGGACCGGCTGACGTGATCGCGGAGGAAAAAGCGGAGGAGGCGGAAGAGGAGAGGGTCATCGAGGTGGACGAGGTGGGAGCGTGGGCGGATGTGGCGGCGCCGGCTCTCGCCGAGGGGTGGGTCGAGGTGGAGAAGGCCCCCGCGACCGTCGCGGAGGGGATGACCGAGTGGGTGGCCGCGGAAGAGGGGGTTCCGGCCACGCTTGCTCCGGAGCTGTTCCTTGGCACCGTGTCGCGGGAGCAGAAGGAGGAGGGTGAAGTTGGCAAGAAGCAGTGCGATTTAACCGCGGCCGTCGAGGCGGCTGTCGAAGCGAAGCCGCGGGATTCCGGCGCCGAAGCTGCTCCCAGAGAGGTTCTTGACGTGGAGTTGGAGGAAGAGACAACCCAGCAGAATGATCTGGGTGCTGAAGTTGCCCCGAGTGAAGTCCCTGATGCGGGAGTGCAGAAACAGGAAGTTCATGCTATGGAAGCTGTTGAAGTGAAGCAGCTCCATCTGGATGTGGGGGCTGCTCCTGCAGAAGTTGTTGATGCAGGACTGGAGAGGGAGGAGGAGGGAGCTCAAGCTGCTGAAGTGATTCCGCGTGAATTGGCTTCCGAGACTCCACCTGCAGATGTTCTTGACATCGTACCTGGGAAGCAGCAGGAGCAAGTCATTGAAGCGAATCAGCATGAATTGGCTCACGTTGTGGCTCCAAGAGTGATTCCGGACGCCGCAGCAAAGGATGAGGAAATGAAAGAACCATCTGTGGAAGAAGTTGTTGTTCCACATGAAGAAGTTCACAACAAGGAGGAAGCTCGGCATGAGGCCGGCACGGATGATCAGCAAGAAAAATTGGTCCCTAAGGACGAGCCGGCTCTTAAGAAATCTGATGATCTAAATGTCAGCCAAGAAGACAGCTCTAATGACAAAGTGGATGTTCAGCTACCGGAGAAGGATACCACATTGCTAGGGATGCCGGAAGATGAGGCTAGAGCGAGCATGGAGTTTGAAGAGTGGGAAGGGATTGAGAGAAGTGAAGTGGAGAAGAGATTTGGTGCAGCAGCGGCATTTGCAGCTAGTGACGCCGGGGCGGCTGCTCTGTCGAAGCTGAATAGCGATGTGCAGCTGCAGCTGCAGGGACTTCTCAAGGTTGCAGTTGATGGTCCCTGTTATGACGCTGCACAACCACTTACACTGAGACCTTCTTCTCGTGCAAAATGGTATGTGTTTTATCTCTCTTTGACACTATGGTTCCACTTATCTTTCTTGTGATGCAGCAAGTCATATTAGTCAATGATATTTTACAAAACACGTTTGAGTACCCAACCCCCCTGCCAGTGGTAATAACATTGAATTCTTTCTATATGAACAACTGAATGGTTTTGTGCTTGGAAAAAGACCAAAAAGGTTGCTACATCATAATGGCAATCAAATTTATCTGGTACCTTATCTATTTCTTCTAATGGGGACTATGATTAAAAGCTAGTTTAAAAGTTGTGCACTTAAACCAGGTAACTAACTTTGTAGTGTTTAAGGATGTCTCCTGCTACATTGATCTGTCAGTGCATAAGGCTGAAATAACATGGACAACTGAATTGTTTGGTGCTTGGCTGTTGCAAGTTGGCAAAAGACACAAAAGGTAGCTACACCATAATGGCAATCAAATTTATTTGGTACGGTGTCTATTACTTCTAATGGGGAAACATGGTGCACTTAAACCAAGTAATTAAATGTGTAGTGTGTAAGGATGTCTCTCCTATAGTGTTCTTTCGTCAATGGATAAGGCTGCATTATTTACAGGAATCTTTTTGAGTTTTTTGAATAAACTATACATGAACAGATGAACCCAGTATTTATTTGACAGAGTGCAATTTAATCATTAACAGAAGCAGACGAAGCACTTTCTGTATATATGCACAACATGAATCAAGCATAGCAACCAAAGCATATTTATCAAGATACATGCAGTGTCATCATAGTCGATATATGATCAGTAATTGCCTAAGGTTTTGTAGGTAATTCTGAGAGGATTTTTGTCTTTTATTTGGAAGTCAAGAAACCAAAAATGGCATAATGAAACTAATAGAAGCAGTTCTCGGTATACATTTTGCAGCTAGGTTGACATTGTTGATATGTTCTGAATAAATTGCTAAAACTTTAACATCGTACACATAGCACATTTAATTAATACGTTGGCATATAAATTGTTTGTTATATCTCTATAGACCTCATCAGTTAGAAACCATTTGAAATTTGAAATGATGGACTGGCAGGCGGGACTCACCTGTTAGTGTACCCATCTATCTTCTTCACCTTTCCTGTAATTGGCATGTGGGACCCACTTGCAAGTGAGTGCGTAACAGAACAATTGAAATCATAGTGTTCTGTGCTCATAGGAATTACCTTATACACTATTTTATCCTCTCAGACATCCTCAGATCGCATTTGGTGCTAAGGCTGTATGTCTAAGGAATAGGTAATAAAAGGATTATAGCCCTTACCTACAAAGTGGAGGAATCCCACTGGAGATACCCATTGCTGATAGATATCCACCTGTACTCCAAAATTCGTCATTTTACCACACGTGTTTTCAAATTTTGGCAACAAAACATATTCTTAATAAAAACTATTTTATCACCTTTTAGTTTGGGACCATGTACGAAATTGTAAATCTTGTGCCATTATGACAAGTACTGTTGGGCTTTGTGTAAACTCAATGTTATAGGTTGGTCTGGTGCAATTTCCTCTGTAAACTGAATTGACAATTCTACATCAAGTGATTTATGTTCTGTCGATCTGCCTTCTGTCGATTTGTTCTCTAATTTGGCATAATTGACAGTAAGTAGGCACTGAACAACCTCTCTTGCCCAAGTTTTTTTGGGGTAAGGTACAGCAGTAGCAAAGAATTTTAATGCATACCTTATAGATTCTTGTGCAAATTTAGCTGGTGGCCCTGTGGTCATATCTTCAGAATGGTGTCATAACATGAGAAGCCTGTCCGCAAACATGCATATTTATGTTTAAACCTAGAGTGTACTGCTGTGATTTAGTCCATTTCAAGGGGAAGATACCTGTCCTTACCTGTTAACGCGACACAAACACCCTGTTTTGGAGCTGCAAATACTGCCTGAGATCCTACGTTCTGAACCCATCTGTGATAATATCCTAGGTCGTTGTTATCCATGAGTGTTTTTCCTTTCCTTTTTCACTTTGAAGAGCTATCCGGTAGAGCATTAATTGAGAAATGTTGTATCCTGATAGTCATTATCTTATGAGTTGTATACTGCAGAGTGATATTCTTGTAATGCAAGCATATGCTTAAAAATGTGAGAAAAGAAACTGGTAGATTTGTCTTTAGAGCCTTGTTGGCCAAATCTATAAGCCTTATATATTGATTAATTAAACAGACCACTGCCAACCAGTGGTGGTACACATCTAACAACCAAACTTACCTATTTTGGAACGAGAAGGTTCCATAGATGTTAAAATATGGAATGCTGGTCAAAAGTGTACTACTGAAATGTTGACGTACTAACACACACCTAACTGATATACATGACATGACATGGTCATGGCAGATATCTCGCAGCTATTTCTGATGTGTGATCTGTCAATCATATTTATTTACAAAGAACTGATTCTGGAGTTGTACTTGCAATAATTATGAATGTGCTACATACATGTATTTTGTTTCCAATAATTCTGTTGAATGTATCAAAGTACTTGGAAAGTATGAGTAAGAAAATGACATGAGGAAAATACGCACACGATATCCGGTAAGTGATATAAAATCTTGTAACGATTTTGACTTGACAATCATTCTACTATTTTGGACTTTTAGTGTTGAGTGCGGAACACCTTAAAGAAAAAATGGTTAGATAACGTCTATTGGTGCCATTATTTGACAATGATGTGCTACCAGTTGTTTGTAATAAATTGTATACTTTTGTATTCTTAGGGGTTCTGTGTAGGTGCACCATGCTTAGCTGGTAATAACTGTTGGATAATGAGCAACTGAGCTTTACTGATAGCCAAAGGCCAATACATATACATGTGTGGTAAAGTGCAGGAAACCCCTTATACAATGGGGATATACCGAAAAGAGACTATACACATCTAACACCCCCCCCCCCCCTCAAACTCATGGTGGATCAACAACACTGAGTTTGGAGAGAAAAAAGGTATGCTGCGCTCGAGTCTGTGCCTTCGTGAAGAAGTCAGCCAACTGTAACTCTGAGGGCACATAGTGAAGAGCGAGAGTCTGATCCTGCACAGCAGCACGCACAAAGTGGGCATCCACACCGATGTGCTTGGTGAGCTCATGCTTCACCGGGTCACGCGCAATACTGATAGCACCAGTACTGTCTGACAGTAAGGAATAGATGACACAGGAGGCACATAGCAGGGTGTATCGGGAAGGAGAAGGAAAGAGAGATCGTCCACAGAGAAACTCGAGGAAGAAGGACGTGGGTAGTAAGAACGAGACTCGTCAAAGGTCACATCACGCGAGATGCGCAAGCGACGACCCACAGGATCCCAACATCGATAGCCCTTGTGCTCATCACTGTAACCAAGGAAAACACACTCAACCGACTGAGCAGTCAGTTTGGTGCGTTCTCGGGGGGCAAGAAGAACATGGCACATGCATCCAAACATACGGAGAGTGGAGTAGTCAGGAGAGCGACCAGTGAGACACTCCAGAGGAATACCACCCTGCAAGGCAGTCGATGGCTGAATGTTGATGAGATAGGTGGATGCAGAGACAGCCTCAGCCCAAAAATGGGGTGGAAGGGAAGCAGCAATCATCATCGCACGAGCCGTCTCAAGTAAATGACGATGCTTACGTTCGGCAACACCATTCTGAGCATGAGCACCAGGGCATGAAAACTGGGCAAGAGTACCCTGTTCCGCGAGAAAACCACGCAACAGCTGAGAGATATACTCTCCAGCAGAGTCAGCACGAAAAGTGCGAATGGGCGTGGAAAACTTGGTGTGAACCATGGCAGCAAAACGTTTGTATATAGGGAGAACCTCGCTACGAGATTTCATGAAGTAGAGCCAAGTGTAGCGAGAGAAATCATCAATAAACAAAACATAGTAGTGGTGACCACCTTTTGAATCAAAAGGAGCAGGACCCCAAACATCAGAATGAACTAAGTCAAAAGGACGCTGAGATACAGACTCACTAGTAGGATAAGGTAACTGAGTCTGTTTGCCAAGTCTGCAACCATTACAATGTAAGGAGACATCTCCAGATACAAACCCTAAGAGGCCCTGACGAACTAAAGAAGACAAGCGAGAGCCACAGATGTGACCAAGGCGATGATGCCACTGCTGGAAGGACGCAGACGAGGAGGCAGCAAGAGCATGGGAGCTGGCAGAAGTGGTGGCAGCGGAAGGAACACAAAGCCAGTCAACCTCCCAAGGGCCCTCTGACTCACGGCGCCGGGGGCCAGCACCAACCAAAGCCTTGGTGCGACGATCCTGAATGGAGCAAGAGTCGGTATCAAGAATGACACGACAACCAGAATCAGTAAGTTGGGCAGCGGAAAAAAGATTCATGGTAAGGCGAGGAACATGTGAAACACTCGGAACAGAAAAAAATGGAGTGGAAAGAATACCACGACTAGCAACAGGAAGAGATGTGCCATCGGCAGTAAGAACATTAACAGGCGAATCAAGTGGTCGGAGAGAAGACAACGCGGAAGAATCAGAAGACATATGAAAGGAAGCTCCAGAATCCAGAACCCACGAAGATGTACCTGACTGTGTAGGTGCCGGTGATGGTGAGGAAGGGGATTCAGTCATAGCAGCAGCAGAAGCAGTCGACGAGGAGCCTGAGGAAGCAAGAAGACGCTTGAGACGAACAATGTCCTGGTCAGTGAGTGACGGAGTCGAGGAAGACACAGGAGTCCCACTGGAGGAGCGCCTCTGGTCTCGCTTCTTCTGGCGACAATCAGACTCTGGGTGACCTGACCGGGAGCAATAACCACAAACGGTGTCACGGCGCGACGTGCCCTTCTCAGCATAAGGAGGACGGCTCACCCCCCCTGGAGGAGTAGGCAAGAGCGGCGGAGCAGTGAGGCGAGCAGACGACGCAGGAGCCCGGGCGGCCAACACTGACGGAACCAGAAGCAACCCGTCAGAGCGAAGGCGGGTCTCCTCGGCACGAAGCTCAGCAAGTATCTCTGAGATAGGAACACGACCACGAGCAAGCAAGTGAGCACGTCGAGGCTCAAACTCAGATCGGAGACGAGATAAGAACTCATGGACCCTCTGAAACTCAAGATCAGACCGAGTAGTCTGACAGCAACGACAGGTTCCACAAACAACTGTCCGAAGAGAGTCAAGCTGGCGCCAGATGGCAGAGCACTGTGAGTAGAACTCATCAACAGAAGAATCACCTTGCTGAAGTGCATGCTCCTGGCGCACCACAGATAGGTAGAGAGCATCACCAGAGGGTTGATAGCGCTGACAGAGGTAAGACCACATCGCTGCAACTGTGCCAAGTCCCATGAACTCCGAAGCAAACTGAGGGAGGACACTCGCAGTGAGAACAGCAGCAGCTCGAGCATCATCATTGCACCACTGAGTGTAAGCAGACAGATCATCCCGGTACACAGAGAGAGCATCAGAATAAGCAGATACCTGCTGATCATAAGCATCAACCGCAGCATCATCCAGAGCCTTGGCAGCATCCCGGTCAGCCTGAGAAGCATCAGCAGCAAGGACCGGCGGCACTGGTGGGATTGGGGCCACGGGCGCAACCGGGCATGGCGGACAGGAGACCTTGCCAGAGAGAACACCCCACAAAAGGAGACCGCGCATATGGATACGCATGAAGCCCACAAACTCAGCATAGTTGGTGCCGTCGAAGATGACCGAGCACCGAGGGACCGCGACATAGCCCAAAGCAGACATGAGGAAGCCTCGCTGCCATTTTTTTTTTGGTCAACGGACCCTCAACTCGATCTGGAACGAGGGGATCTCGAACCAGGAAGCGAGCGAGGCCACAGAAAGCGACCGCGGGCAGGGAGCGCGTGATGCAGGGACTCCCCGATGCAGCCAGTCGAGCAGCTCAGGCGGGGGCCCGACCTGAGGGAGGAGCAGAGCGCGGCCCTGTGCGGGATCGACCAGAGGACGAGCCCGAGAGCGGCGCGGCCCTGTGCTGGATCGAGAGGAGCGCGCGGCTCTGCGCGTGAGGAAGAGGAGCGCGCGGCTCTGACGGGATCGAGCAGAGGAGGCGCTCCCGAGGCCGACCGGCAGGGGCTGGGGCGCGCAGGGGGTGGCGGAGCGCAGCCTTGGCGCAGTCCAAGATACGCCAGACGAGGAAGACGAGGCCGAACGGTACAGCCAGGGCGGCGGATCCGGACGAGACGAGTGCGACAGCGGCAGCCGGAAGCGAGCAGAGGCGGCCGGAGACGAGGTAGGCTAGGATGGGGGAGCACGGAGTTGCAGCGTGCGAGAGAGCGAGGGCAACCTAGCATCTGATACCATGTTGGATAATGAGCAACTGAGCTTTACTGATAGCCAAAGGCCAATACATATACATGTGTGGTAAAGTGCAGGAAACCCCTTATACAATGGGGATATATCGAAAAGAGACTATACACATCTAACAATAACCACTCGTTGTTCTGTCAGGGTCTCTTGGCAAAAGCTAGGAAACATGCATCCTGAGATTGCTATGGAAAAATACATGAATCTTTTGTCAGAATTTCTTCCTGGATGGATGGGAGACACAACCCCGGTAAGCTTTTCTTTTGTTAAAATGTATAACTTATGTTTACCCAACGTAATTTTTTTTTGCTTCAGAATAGAGCTAATGATTTATGAATATCATAATATAGAGCACAGAGAAACAGAAAGTTGATGTTGATTCTGAAGGGGCCCTTTTAACAATGACTACTCATACAAGTGACCCACAGATCAATCAAGGGTAAATTACTAATTACTGAATTGTGGACTTGTGGAGCGTTGCAAAATGACAACAGGGTTACATATCGGTGTTGTATTTGCCATTTGGACTGGTATGTATTGGTGCTGGTACAAGAATATTTTGGTGAAATTTCCAGCACTGTAGTTGTACCAGTTGTTTCCAATGGCAGTATGTACAACGATCTGGTATGATAACCCTGTTTCATGACTTTTATCAATTGATTATGACCCTGACTTGCTGGTGTCGATGAATTTCTTGACAGGAATGAAGGTAGTACTAGCATAGATGAAGGTCCACTAACAGTTCCTCCTAACCCCGAAAAAGGTACATGCTTCACATATATTTTCCATTGGCTTACTCACTCCTAGGAAATAAAATAAGCTGCAGTGATGTTAAATTTTCTGACAGCTCTTTGTAGTGATATGTATTTCTGGATGTTAATTTTAAATTCATCATAACCCTAACCAACCCAAAGTAGCTGAATTTGGACCTTTCATTTTCCAATCAGTTTGATTTTCTGCCTGCACACTTTATTATGTTTTATCAATTAAGCCCACCCTGTAAATTTTCAGGGCAGAGCTCTGACGTCCCTACCGAATGAACGTAACGGTCATCGAGTATTTCTTGCATCGGTGATGTCAGCGCATTGCTGAGATCGCTGCTGATGCCTTCCCCATAAGATTAGGTTTGTACAGTGTTTGTGGTTGTGCTAATATTAGTGCTGTAATGGGTGTTGGTACGTGTAATGTATATGACTGTATATATATCCCACAACGACCGCCTGCTGCCTGTATATCGGCCAGTATCAACCTTATCGTCAGGTTTAGTCTGTGTAACCGCATCTATGGTAAAGCGGTAATTGTATGCCATCTCGCTGTTTGGGATGAGAAATTAAGTGGTTGAAGAATGGATAATCCTACGTCCTACCCGTCTCGCGCTGAAATCATCTCATTTGTGGGACGTGCATGCTTTTCTCCATAACTTTGTTCAGTTGGTATTCTCCCCATGACTTTCACCCTATCTTCTTCAGTTGGATATAGTTCAGTTCCTTGTGTGGTGGATAACGAGGGTGCAGGTTATGTGTCGTGGTCATGGCATTCCATCATTTTCCGAAGCGGAATGGGCTCCCGCATGTCCACCAAGGTCCCGAGGGCTTTGGCTGCACGCCTAGACCAGAGGGTTGGATTTTTGCGCCTTCTGACGGAGAAGTGGCCAGATAGCAACGATGGCCCTTCATGGATCACGTGAAACCATATCTCTCTCCGAAATAAATGCCTGACAAGGACCGTGCGCTTGACATGGCTCGCGACAGGCCTTGGGACAGACAGAAGGACCGCGCAAATCGGCGTGGCTAACCGGAGCTCCGACACGTCCAGGGAACACGCATGTACCATACTCTGCGGTACGCTGGCCGTATGCCGCAGCACCAAAGGATCCATACGAGTCACATGACCCACAGGACGAGGGCCAAGGGAGCCCACCGCGGCACGGCGAGTCAAGCGCACCCCGTGGCCTCGTCCGGCCGATGCACGCCCGTGAACCCACCGCCCGCGCGCGCGCCGAACAAGGCCGGCGCAGTGCCAGAACGGACAGGCGCGCCACGACCCGGCTACCGCCAAGCCGGGGAGCTACCAGTACAGGGCACGGACGGGCTCATCGAGAGGCGGTGGACAGACCACGCAGATTATACGGTGCCGCCAAGAGTTGCGCTTTTCCTTTCGTTTGTGGTGGCGCCCGGTCGGGCTACTTTCGTGCTCGCGCGACGCATGCGAGCGCCCCACTCCGTAGCGTGTACATGGCCGTGGCGGCAGAAACCGCAAGGATAGCGCTGGCGAGTAGATGGATCATGGATGGATGAACAGTGTTCGTGTAGTAGCCTGCGTGCATGGATGCATACTCCGGGGTCTCTTTTTGGCCAGCCACTCCGGAAAGCGCGACAATAATTTCGGCTCGCGGGGAAACTGCGGGCATTATTCGGCCCACCGATCACGTTCCAGTCTACCAACCGATGTGGCGTGCGGTGCTTTTTCGAGTTTGGACCAGTTCTTCGTGTGGAACAGCTAGCTGAGCTGGGTTTAAATCCCTTGTTTGTTTTTCTACGTTTCTTTTGGTGAAGAAGAAGGCAAATGGAGGTAATGTAAAAGATTCTCGGGTAACACAAGGGTCAATCACGGATACACCGCAGGCAAAAGACACTGATAGTACTGGATGAATAAGCACAAGGTTGTACACTGTATTTCTGTCCGGCAAGTACAAGTACAAGTTCAAGTATTGCCAAGTGCATCTTCGTGATGATCAACATGACATCATCATTTGGAAGCTTACCACCTCGGGTCACTATTTGGCGGCCTCGGCATACAAAGGATCAGTTTCACAGTATCATGGCAACTGTGCCAGAAGGCTAAACCTTTTTTTTTTTGCGTGAGAAACTTTTAATCTATTCATCTCCAATCATGATATTACAAAGAACATCAAAGGTAATAAAATTACAACCAGGTCCATGAACCACCTAGCAACGACTACAAGCACTGAAGCGAGACGAAGGCGCGCCGCCGTCATCGCCCTCCGCCCCCTCGTTGGAGCCGGGAAAACCGTGTTCTAATAGACAGTCGTGTAATCGTCGTGTTAAGGCCTCCTAGGACCAGTGCACCAGAGCAACAACCATCACCGATGATGAAAGTCGTAGATCGAAAGCATCAAACCTGTAAACACCCAAACCAAGACAAACACTTGATGGTTCATTTTGAGGCAATAACATCCACCATTTGTAAAAAAACGAAGACCGGATCCAAACAGACCCACTGAAGACCATCACCGACCGAATCCCGCGAGATTCGAAGGAGACACACCTCCAAACGCCCTACGACAACACTAGACATGTCATCAGAACGGGGATAGAACGTGAGAGACATTATTCCTACCGAGGGACATCGTTGCCGCGGCACAACCCCAACCAAGACACTGAACTTAACAAGAGAGAATGAGGTCCCTCCTGCCGGCGAGGGGCCGAAATCCTCCGCACCTCCAAGGCCCAAATTGTCATCGGCGATGTTGGGAAGCGTAGTACTCCCTCTATCCCATAATATAAGAACGTTTTTGGCACTACACTAGTGTAAAAAACATTCTTATATTATGGGACGGAGGGAGTAGAAAACAAAATTTTCGCGCCTACGCACACCCAAGATCAATATGAAGAAGCATAACGGGTTGTGAGGGAGTCCTGGATAAGGGGGTATCCGGACAGCCGGACTATATACTTTGGCCGGACTGTTGGACTATGAAGATACAAGACAGAAGCTTCGTCCCGTGTCCGGATGGGACTCTCCTTGGCGTGGAAGGCAAGCTTGGCGATTCGGATGTAGATCTCCTCCTCTGTAAACCGACTCTGTGTAACCCTAGCCCCCTCCGGTGTCTATATAAACCAGAGGGTTTAGTTCGTAGTACATAACAACAATCATACCATAGGCTAGCTTCTAGGGATTAGCCTCTCTGATCTCGTGGTAGATCAACTCTTGTAATACTCACAAGATCAATCAAGCAGGAAGTAGGGTATTACCTTCATCGAGAGGGCCCGAACCTAGGTAAACATCGTGTCCCCAGTCTCCTGTTACCATTAGCCTTAGACGCACGGTTCGGGACCCCCTACCCGAGATCCGCCGGTTTTGACACCGATATTGGTGCTTTCATTAAGAGTTCCACTGTGTCGCCGCGATAAGGCTTGATGGCTCGCCTCGTTGTCAAAGACAACGTCACCTCCGGTGGAGCCCTGGCTCTAGGCCAAACTCTCTGGCTGGGTGGCTTCGCTATGACCACCCGATCGGCTGTCGCGCCGACAATGACTTCTCAGGTCATTAAAAATAGCCTCCACATTGATTCGGAATTTGTCGAACAGATGGACCCAATGGAGCTCTTCTCCCTCAACGAGCTCTTGGATCGCATCGCCGCCCTGGGCGTCGCTACGGACTATGACCGGATCAGGCTTAAACCTGATCAAAGGGAGATTCACTCTCCACCGGCCACCCATGAGATAGCGGTAGTGGAAGAGCATCATCCTAATTCTCCCTCCACTTTGAGGACGAACTATGTCCGGATTTCCGAGCTCTCCGAGCCGGACACCCGCTCGCGGGAGGACATGACCCCGGTCCCAGACTCAGGATCGGGGGGCGGGCCGAAGAAATCAGGCAACGCCCCAGAACCCGAGCCGTTAAGCTCGGAAGCTTCTTTGCCCCTGGGTCCCAGATCGGGTCGGGATTCGGATTCAAATCCGCCCACGCACCCAGATTTATCCAATCTTTTCCATATCAGACAAGAGCCCCAAGAAACAGTACATCATTACTGGGCCAGATTCCTCCTTGTGATAAACAGAGTCAAGGACTGTCGCGAGGCAGACGCAATCTCCCTCTTTTGCAAAAATTGCACGGACAAAGGGATTCTCAACGCTATAAGTCGTCGTGACATAGTACACTTCGCTGACTTAGCGGCCATAGTGCAAAAATACTGCGCGATGGAAAGCGCCTGGAAAACCCAAACAAGTTTTTGGGACAATCAGGCTCTAGCCAAATCCTCTGTCCGAACTAAAAGGGTAAACTCTCGTAAGTCACCCAATTCAAGTACCAAAAAAATAAAGCCCGCCGCAAGGCGCGGAACCGTATTGGAAGAATGGATAAACGGGTCGTGCAAGATTCACAGCACACCGGATACTATGCCAATGCATAGCCTTAGAGCATGTTGGATACTCCGGCAGGTAGCAAAGAGCGGCGAGGATCTCCTCATAAAACATACAACAGAACAACATCCCGTCGAAGACAACAATACGGTATTTACAGTCTTCGAGACTTTCGCCTCAAATAATAGGCGCAAGTGAGCTCAGCGCAGCCTCGCAGAAGTTTGCCACGTGGCAACAATAAACCCATGGAACGATATGGCTATAACTTACAATGCCAGTGACGAACCTCAATTCCGAACAGTTCGAGCACCAGCCGCCTTGGTCCTTAGCCCAATCGTGGATGGCTTCAGGCTCACCAAAGTGCTCATGGACGGCGGAAGCAGACTAAACCTCATCTATGAGGAAACCCTTAACAAGATGGAAATTGGCAAGAGCCGCATTGAATGAAGCAGCACGACCTTCAGGGGAAACATCCCTAGTCGGGAGGCACAATGCGCGGGAAAAATCACACTGGATGTGGTATTCGGCATGCCGGAGAATTATAGGTCCGAAGAAATTACATTCCAAGTGGCCCCGTTCAGCAGCGGATACCACGCCCTCTTGGGGCGGGACGCATTCACGAGCTTTCAGGCTGTACCCCATTATGGGTACATGAAGCTCAAAATGCCCGGGCCCAATGGAATCATCACTCTAGCTAGCGATACGGACGTCGCACTCCGCGCCGAAAATAAAACCGCCGCCCTCGCCCTGGAGGCATTATCAGAAGCCCTCGCGGCCGAAGAACTGACAACACTACGAGCAACTGTGGACGGAGACGACATTATACTCGACAAGTGACCTAAATCCACATCCTTCAAACCAGCGGACGAGATAGTCAAATTCCAGGTCCACCCAACGGACCCTTCGAAGACAGCTTCCATCGAGACACAACTGAACCCCACAATAGACGCCGCACTGCGAGACTTCCTGCGTGAAAATTGGTATATT